GATCGGATTCAATTATTTGTCACAAAGGAATCCTAGATATAGATGATCCATTTATAGACAATGTTAATTCTCCAGCAAGATTGGTAAATATTAAATTAGAATACATTGTATTTTAATTCTATAATTTAATTATTATTGATGGTTGAAGTCTCAAGATTCACTACCGGTTGAATTTAATACTTTAATTGATGGAGATATTTTTGCCTCGCATTCGCCAATAATTAAACCTATTGTAAGACGAAGAAATTCTAAATACGATTCAGAGACACCTCGGAAAATTGTAAGGAATTATTTCATAATATATATATATATTTTTTTTTCAATTTCTCATTGTATTTTTTTTTTTTTATAAATAGGATTTGGTTTTTGGAGAAATTAAAATCACTGATGTTGTGAAAAAACGTAAATTATTTAATGAATTTGAATGTCCTTCCGAAAAGTCAATTGCATCTAAAAGTTTAAAGCCTAATGTTGATCTTTCGATGTCATTTGATTCTCCAAGATTAGACACTGGAAATACTTCTTTAACTGCTCCTGTATCACACAAGAAAACAACACTCTTTGATTATGGGTTTTGCAAAAATAGTGTTTCCAAGCTCCAAAGATCATTCTCAACTAATGAAGCCACTATTAAAGCTGCATTTGAGAAAGGTGAGTAATATACTTATACATTTAAAATTAAACAATTAAATTATTATTTTTTGTTTACAAAATTGTTGGAATAAATTCATTACCAGGATTATAAAATAATTAATCTGCTACAGAAAATTAGTTWATTTATATAATTAAAACCATACTTATATTTACTTGCTTTTTGTTTTTTCAAGGAATTTATTTTTATTTGTGTTGAATGATTTTTATTCTTAATTGTAATCCAATACAGAATATTTTTTCTAAAAATGTTAACATATAAATACTGAACACTACTGTTATCTATCTCAAGTTGGTGCCAATATCTGTGTTATAGTTGCGAACTTATAGTGCTAGGGGCTCTTGAGTCTATTTTAACATAATATTGTAGAACATAGTGTTCATAGTTGGTAGTTTCTACTTTCTAGTTTTTAACATATTTAGCATAGCAGTGAGTTGATCAACCATCAAATAAACAAAAGAATTAATATTAAACATCTAAACTATATTTATTCCATTTTTTCATGGATAAATATTTGATTATGTACATGTACATGTAATGTATGTACATGTAAGGGTATAAAAGTGACATTATACAATATTTAAATTGTTGTTTATAATTAATGTTGCTTGATTTGTATTTATTTAATTAATTGCTTTTATTCAATCACATTTATTTGTATATGTATATGTATATGTATATAAGAAAAATAGTATTCTACCATATTGAGGTAAACTGACATCTTCTTAAAATTATTTTTTTAACATTATTATATTTTGTAATAAGGATATTTTGCATTTGAATAAAAATTTCTTT